GGCGTGTCCTCTCTCTGTATTCCTGCAGTTTTATCCACAGCAGCGTAGGATGTCACCCCTCGATAGCATTATTTAATTCCAACTTAACCGTTTGGTTAAAATAGGACCATGACAGCCATTGGGAATGAAAGAGAGGTGTGGCAAGGAGACGCTCTAGACATAAAATGCCAAGCGTTCTGCAACGTTCAAGTAGACTCTCCGTGTTAAGAAAACAGACGAGCGGTTTACTGCTGCGCTATCCTGCTCCGAACAGCATTGGAAACTGCCAGACAATGCACACTTACTGGAAAGGACAGCAGCAAATTACGCCTCATTGTTCGTCTTGGCTTGAGGCGAGCATGCGTGTTAATTAACCAGACAGGTTTCAATCTCCGGGGGTTTAATGACACCTACGCATTGAAAGAAGCAATCCTTCTTGGAGACAAAAGCAAAAGTCTAATGGTCACCAGCAATTGCCCGTAGAACCTGAAAAGCTCCTGAAGCACCTGCTAACAAGATGCTGGGTCTTTTCGCATCCTTCCTTTCGATCAAACTGACGCTCCTGTTATTCTTTTACACTGGGGCTGCTTTTAGATCAGCAGAGCATCGGGAAAGACGCGTCCAGGGAGTTGGACCCAATAAAGTTGCAATCCACCACTCCAGTTGAAAGCTCAATTGTAAACTTCATCCGTTGTTCTCATACGCTGTTTTAAATCGGGGCCACAGGAAACACCGACGATGAAAATCGTGACAAGCAGATGAGATTTGAAAGAGTAGGGGGCTGTGGGGTTGGGGGGCTATATGTGTGCTTGCACCCCCACGGCGCCAAAGCTGCATCACTCTGGGATACAGGCCGGGGTCCCCTCTCCAACCCGCGACACCCTGAAATCCTCTCCCCCGCTGGGGTCCTGTCTCGAGAGCACTTTCCTGGCTGCCTCAATCCAAGTCTGCGCTCCCAACATCCTTTCTACTTATAGCCTCAGTCTGAAACACGCCATTTTCTTATTATTTATCTTTATTTTTTGAGACCAGAGTCTCCACTCTGTTCCCCTGGCTAGAGTGCTGTGGCGTCAGCTACGTCACAGCAACTCAAACGTCCTGGGCTCTAAGCGATCCTCCGTGCCTCAGCCTCCGAGTAGCTGGGACTCACCGGCATGCACCACCATGGCCCGGCTAATTTTTTCTATAGTATTTTTAGTTGGCCAATTAAATTTCTTTCTATTTTTAGTAGAGACGGGGTCGGGGGGGGGATCTCACTCTTGCTCCCAGCTGGTTTTCGAACTCCTGACCCTTGAGTGATCCTCCCCGCCTCTGCCTCCAGAGTGCTAAGGATGATAGTAAACAGAAGATTTATTAATACACTCCCTTAATCTAAAAAGGCATCGCTCAGGGTGCTGGAAACAAAAGGCAGACCCTCTGCCTGTGGCGACAGTCCACCAAGTTAAAGCGAATGCTTAATAACCCCAGAGCTATAACCTACCGATGCCCCAGAACTGTGCGCACGTGACAGGAGACATGGGCCGCCGGTTTGCACGCGAGTGGTGAAGGTCTGTGAGATTTCGCTGTCTGTACAGTTGTGCTTTCTTGCCATTTTCAGGACGAGGTCGATCAAGTAACTCTTCACAGCTATAAAGTCCCAGTCCACCATCACCTCCTCCGTTCGGCCAAACCCCACCGTCAATTCAAGTACAACACGTGGTGGAACAACTCCCCGACGCCCAGAAACGTCGTGTTTGACGTGCAGATTCCCAAGGGAGCCTTCATCACCAACTTCTCCATGTGAGTGAGTCCCAGGTTGAGCCAGAAACTGCATATGCCCCGCTCCCGGGATCAAAACCCCTCTCGGTCAGAAGGGACCTTCGTGCTCAACTGTTCCAATGGTTCTCACCTCTAGAGCCAAGCACCTACCTGGCAGAGAGGGTCACCGGGCGTGGGGCCCAATCCTTTGTTTGATCTGTTGGAAGGATCAGAATTGGTGAAGGATTTGCATATATATATATATATATCATATATAATATATAATATTTTTTTTTTTATTTTTTTTTTTTTTAAGACAATATTCTCCATCTGTTGCCCAGGCTAGAGTGCCGTGGTGTCAGCCTAGCTCACAGCAACCACTCCAACTCCTGGGCTCCAGCAATCCTCCTGCCTCAGTCCTCCCGAGTCGCTGGGACTACAGGCATGGCCGCCCATGCCCAGGCTAATTTTTTTTTCTATATATTTTTAGTTGGCCATTAATTTCTTTCTATTTTTAGTAGAAGCGGGGGTGGGGGGGGTCCTCGCTCTTGCTCAGGCTGGTTTCGAACTCCTGAGCTCAAGCAATCCTCCGCCTCAGCCTCCCAAGAGTTTAGGATACAGGAGTGAGCCACTGCACCCGGCCACGAGCCAAATTCTTAACTCGGAGAAGAATGTGCTGATGAACCCAATGTAATGAGACATTTAGTGATTTATCTGTCAATCTCCTTGGCTTTGGCATGGTCATTAAAAAATAAATAAAAAATGGTGTTTAAAAACTTAGGCTATAAGTAGAAAGGGATGTGGGAGCCAGATTGGATTGAGGAAGTCCAGGAAATAGCTCTCGAGACAGGAACACAGTGGGGAGAGGATTCAGGGTGTCGGGGTTGGAAGGGCACCCTAGCTGTATCCCCAGAGTGAGGTGCAGCCGGGGTGCCATGGGGTGCAAACACACACCTGGCCCCCCAAACCTCCACAGCCCCCTACTCTCTTCAATCTCATCTGTTACAATTTCATCGTCGGTCTTTTCCTCGTCCCCTCGATTAAAACAAGCTATGAGAACACAGATGGATGTGTGCAGCGAGCATTTATCAGGGGGTGTGATGCAATTTTTGGTCCAACTCCCTGGACCCTCTTTCCCCATCTCTGCTGATCTAAAGCAGCCCCCAGTGTAAAAGAATCACAGGACGTCAGTTTGGTCAAAGGCAAGGCTCGAAAAACCCACATCTTTTAGCAGGTGGCTCAGAGCTTCTTCAGGTCTACGGCAATTCTGTGACCCATTAGACTTT